ACGACTGAAGGAACGCAACGTTGATACCAAAAGCGGTGCAAAATAGAAAAGAGCATGCGAATTTTGGGTAACGAGTTCTAAATGTTCGTCGAATACGGAAGGTGTAGGACCCTAAGGCACGTACAAATAACCTCGATTTAATCCGACAAAAACACGCATATCAGGTTGAGTATGGCCAAAAAACGGTGGAATAGCTCTATAAATGTGAACCCAACAAAGAATAGAAAGCGTTATTGGATAAAAAGCAATGTATCAGATGTTAGACAAAGTCAAAACGGGATATAACCACGCAATTAAATGGCCGAGCGGAAATAACATCAATCCAAGATGCAAACTGCATAAGAACATGGGAACATTGTACAGTCATAAGTTCAAATTTACATGCACAATGGCCTCCCTCAATTCTAAATGAAAAACCGAAAGCGCAAGCAGGTTGGCGGGATTGATGCTAATCATTTTTTCGAACCCTTTGTGAAGGGAGCTCCTTTGTCTTTACCTCTCAGTTTTATGCCCAAGGCTCTTTCCAGCTTTCCTAATATTGCTTGGTTGGGTATCGCTTTCCCCTGCTCGTATTCGGCGATAACCTAAAAGAATATTTCATGTATAATGGTGATACTTGAGGTTTTTCATTTATTTTGGTGGCCAAATCCTTCTGTGTGAGATTGCAATTTTGTCTCGCCATCGCAATCAGTTGGCCGACGTCCCGATGAACTGTTTCGATATGAAAATCTTCGTTTTCCTCTTCAAGTTTTGCCGCACTCACAGCGGAGGGGTGCTGACGGTTGGAACCGGCAGCATACTTTTTTTGTGTTCCAATTTCAGCTCCAAGTCTTTGGGCCGCATTATATGTCTACGGGTAATTATACGTAAGAACAGTTACTTACGGCATTATCCTTAATAGTTATAGGTCTGGCTCCTGACATGCTGGCAGAAAAAAAATCGGCGGTCACACGGATCCGAAGAAAATATTTACGTCCTGATTGGGTAAACTCCCAGTCGATCAGTTTATGAAGGTCGATCCTAT